AAATATGGCCAAGCCCCCTCACTCAGCAAGGAACTTCCTTTTCTCATTCCAAGTTGACCCTAACTACAATAGGGCAACTGTTCAAACCTAACCTTTGTTCTTGTGCCAAGATGGCCCATGTATTACAAAGGGAAGTATCAAAGTGCAAAGTAGATGAGGTTTGTTATGGTCACACCCACTTCCCCTATTGTGCCCCACTCACACCTTGCAATGAAGTCATTACAACAACTGAGCTTAAACACAGCCAAACAATAGACATTCCAGCTATTCCCTGTTTCCTCTCCAAATCTTATAGGCTAATCAAATTACAATTGCATGGACAAGTTTAGAACAAATAAGGATTTCTCCACCCTAATCATCTGCAGATATGTAACTCAAACCTCATTTCTAAAATTTGTGTATTTAGTTCTGGAGGAAGAATTCAATTTCTACCCAAACTTATACAGTCAAATTAATTACATTATTTCTGTATTTCATCCATTTGTATGATGATAATTGTAAAATTAATGGTCTGTGCTGGGGTTTCAGCTTCATAAGCCTGTACCACTAGCTATTACAAGTTCTATTGTACAAACATCACAAATTTCATAAAATGAATAAAACCTCTAATATAAGAGTCACATCCAATTTTAAAGACAAAGGCTACTGTTAAATATGATATCCTATTTTGCCTCTTGATATAAAACCAGACATTTTGGTATAGTGGTTAAAGCATTAGGCTAGAAAACGGAAGACTGTTAAATTTTAATCTTGTTTTAACCTTAGGAAGGAGGCAATGGCAAACCACTTTTGAAAAACCTTGCCAAGAAAACTGCAAGGAATGGTCCAGCAATCTCCAAAAATTGGACATAACTTAATGGAAAGAAAATCAATCAATCAATAAAACTGATCATAGGGAGCCAGGTAAAATCTAAAACAGCTGTTTTCTTATCTTGAAGGTCCAGACAGGACAATTATGTTTACAAATTAGCTAGTCCATTATTACATGATATAGAATTTAAAAAAAATGATGGTGCTTACACACAATGAATAATACACAGAAGTAAACAATCTGGATTCATATAGCACCCTGAACATTTAAGGTTGTAAGAAACATGAAACACATGCTTTAGTTGTGAAAACCTAAAATGTAGCCCATGCTTTTATAAGCCTTAAAACAGACAAATCAGAAATGCTGTTTGTGGCCAGACTATCTTCTTGGAAGGTAAGTAGTACATCCTCTCTCTCTCTCTCTCTCTCAAAAAAAGGATGTATTGGCCCAAAAGATGAACTCTGCAAGTTGATGGCTTTCCTCATCCTAACAGTAATTCTACAGTATTTTAAATACACAGGACTGGAGGGAATGCCAACACGAGAGACTCAAGAGACCCAACATTCAGAAGGACCCTTGACAACTTGACTGTTGGTCCTGTACTTAAGCAGGAAAAAACAAATGCGTAGGTATAGAATAGGAGGCACCTAACACAACAGTAGTAACTGTGAGAGGAATCTAGCTATTCTGGCAGGCCCCCGTTTAAGTATGAGTCAGCAGTGTATGACAGCTGTCGAAAGAGACAACACAATTCTAAGCTGCATCAACAGAGGGGCAGCATCAAGATTATTGGACCTGATAATCAGGGGTGGTATTCAAATTTTTTAACAACTGGTTCTGTGGGCGTGGTTAGGTGGGCGTGGCCATGTGACTGGGTGGGTATGTCCTTTTTTTTTTTTTTGCAGCAATCCCCACCCCCCATTTTTGGGCCTCAGGGAAGCCTCTTGGGGGGGTGTTTTTGCTCCCAGAAGGCTTCCCTGGGGCCCAGAAAGGCAAAAAATGGAGCACGGGGCGTGTGTGCGGCTCCCCCCCCCCCCCGTGCATCCCTTTTTGTCTCAGGGAAGGGAAGTCCCCTTTTTGTCTCAGGGCCTCAGGGAAGCCTCCTCGGCAAAGCAGGGGAATCCTGGCATAGCTGATCATCGGAACAGCTGATCGTTGGGAGGGGAAAAAATAAACACCTTACAGAGTGACTCGGTGGGGGAGACCACAGTCAGCAATGTCACGCATGTGTGATAAGGACTGACTGGGCGGGGAGGGGAAGGGAGGGGCGGGGCCAGCCAAGGGCATGATATACCGGTTCTCAGAACTGCACAGAATCATAACAACTAGTTTGAACTGGAAGAATCCCACCCCTGCTGATAATACTACTTTACACTGCACTGGTGAGGCCACCCCTGGAATACCGCCTCCCGTTCTGGTCACTGTGATTCAGGAAAGATATTGAAGCCGTAGAAAGAGTACAGGGAAGAGCAACAAAGATACAGGATTTGGAGGTTATATCCAGTGGTGGGATGCTGCTGGTTTAATAACCGCATTCGGTGAGTGCATGCTTTGTCTGCTCACGCACCTAAGACGCCTATGCGCAGTGCTGAAAAGGGGGCGTTTAGAAGCACAGCTGCTTATCTTCCAGGTCAGCAATGGTAGGTACAACAGCGAGGGGGGAAATCAGCTGTGCCCCGCTATTGAGATGACCTACAAAGCAGGAAATAAAGGACAGGATAGGGCGGGTGGGATGGGCGGGGCCAGCTGATCATCAGAGCTATCAGTTCGCCTGAACCAGTCCAAACCGGCAGCATCCCACCACTGGTTATATCATATGATGAACAGCTATGATCACTAGGCTAACATCATATGTTTAGCCTAATGAAGAGAAGGCTCAGGCGAGACATGATAGTAGTCTTCCAATACCTGAAAGGCTGTCATAGGGCCTTGATTTATTCTCCATAGCATCTGAGGACAGGACAAGAAGCAACGGGTAGAAGCTTGTCAAAGGGAAATTCAACCTGGAAATAAGGAGGCATTTCCCAACAGTCAAACCATTCGCCAATAGAACAGCTTGCCTCTCAAGAGTTCCGGGCACTCCATGTCTGGAGGTTTTTAAGATTGGACAACCATTTGTCTGGGGTGGTATAAGGACTCCTGCTTTGGACAGGGGGCTGAACAAGAAGACCTCCAAGGTCCCTTCCAGCCCTATGATTCTATGTTGTTGTTGTTAGTGGTGAAGTCGTGTCCAACCCATTGCAACCCCATGGACAACGTTCCTCCAGGCCTTCCTGTCCTCTACCGTCTTCTGGAGTCCATTTAGGCTCACGCCGACTGCTTCAGTGACTCCATCCAGCCACCTCATGAGGTGGCTGGATGATTCTATGACTCATCAGCAAATGGACACAGCATTTCCATCTCACAACCTTCCTGAAAAAAAAATCTTAAGGTGGCTCAGGCTAATTATGTGATTGTCTAAAGAACTGAATACAGTAACACAATCCATGACAAGGCCTCTTTAAAAACAATTGGTAAATGTCACTTGGTACATGCTGCCAGATTTGGGGATGTTGATTTACAGCAATCTTCTCCAACTAGGGACCTCCAAATATATAGCACAAAAATTCCTACCAACCTCAGCATCACAACCACTTTGACTAAAAATGATGGAAATTACCTCTTGGGGATATATTTCATACCTTGTAGAAACCCACATTAAGAATTTTGACTGTATCATTTATACATTTAAACTCATGTTGAGTTTATTCCTTCAATTCAGATTCGATTTCAGCATGCTATTTTTGCTTGTTTTATAACTCAAACATTTTTTAAGGGCCACCTTCAACTTCCTTCAGATACTCCTGCCATTCTAAGCTTTCTAAAATTGCCTCAATTTATAACCTTCCTTGTCACAATTGTTCACTGAATCACTCCAATTGGTAAGTTAGTAACAAGGTTGTTAAGTAAATCTGGCTTCCCCATTGACTTTGCTTGTCAGAAGGTCACAAAATGTCTTCACATGACTCCAGGCCATTACAACCATCATAAATATCAGTCAAGCATCTGAATTTTGGTTAGGCAACCGTAGGGATGCTGCAACGGTGGCAAGTGTGAAAACGGTCATAAGTCTATTTTTCCAGTGCGGTTGTAACTTCAAACAGTCATTAAACAAAACATTGTAAATCAAGGATTACCTATATGTGCAGAAGTACCATCAGAAACCAGCTTCACTACTGCAAATGGGCAGCTCTCATGCCGACAATGATATACAGGTAAGCCCCGACCTACAACCACAACCGAGCTCCACATTTATGTTGTTAATTGAAACATTTGTTAAAGTGAGTTTTGCCCCCATGTTATGACTTTTCTTGCCATGGTTGTTAAGGAAATCACTGAAATTGTGCTTTCCAGAACCGAAGAAGCTTCTTGGGATGAGAGAAGCAAAACATCTTCAAAGAAAAGATGATCTTGGGAATTGGAGGCCCCTGGCCTCGCACAGCTGCTTACTAACCCAGCTGCAAGACCTCCGACGATCTCAAGCATTTCCGGCTTTCTAATGCAAAAGACCACATGCAACGGGAAACGAGCCGAGCTTTAACTCTGAGGGAGAAAAAAACCCAAAACAGGTCTCGAAGCTGCCGCTTAAAAACTTGCGCGTCGGGGCAGCTTTAATGGGGGGCGGGGGGGGGAGTGTTTTGTCTTCTATTCTTACGACAACTATTTCGCTCCCTCTTTGCTAAACTAAGCTATTCTAACAAAGAGGCGGTGCAAAACGCGTGTTTTCCAACTTTTAAGATCCACCAATCTCCGGGGATGAATCACCCAACATTGGAGTCACTTTTAAGTTAGGACGGGGTGGCGGGAATAAACAGCGATCTAAACCCACCGAAACTCGCCACAACACCGCACCCCCTTCCGAATACATTTAAAGGGCGTCGGATCTGGTTGCACGTGTGGACGGCAGAAAGACGGACACGCGTCCTATATATATAAACGCTTTGCAACCGTAATTTGTTGCGTCCTTGACAAGCATCCAGGAAGTTCTTCCAAGTGTTATTCAAACGTTATCCCTATTGTACCGATCAAAGCAAGGAGCCGAAGGGGGTTTCTTTTTCTGTGGGTCCACCCCCTAACTAAACCCTCGCATGCGAGCACCACCCCGAAAATTTTAAATAAACAAAAAGATAAGCAGAGGTTGTTTTTTTACCTTATTCATCCCATTCCCCATGGCTCTAAAACGATCTGAAACTTTATAGCACCAGAGACTGGAAGCAAATCTATTGAATAGGAAGCTGCAAATAATAATAAATAAATACAAAATACTAGGGCGGGGAAACAACGGTATTTACTCGGTAGGATTGAGCAATCGAATAGAGAAGCGATTATATGATTAGCTGTTCTTCACCGCAGGAGCTCTAAAGAAAAAATAATAATAATAATCTCCCGTCCATCAGAATTAACCGGGGCTTT